TCCCACATGGGAGCTGTGTAAATATAGCTCTGAGCACAGATTCCTTGATCCATTTATTGTAATCCCATTGACCATTAATTTAGCTGCAATGGATCTTAAGCGCCTGAGGTGGTGTAAGGTACTTTGTTGCACCTGTGAAGAGAATGGGGAGCTTTGTTTTACATCCCTTTAATGACATAGTCTTGGATAATCCCCGTTGCAGGGATTTAAAAAGTTCACACTGAATGATGTAAGGCGACATGAGTCGCTGTTTTATCAGTCTTTGTCAACAACTACTGCATAATGTGTTGGGAATTGAAAAGCTACTGAAAAGTATCACAATTAAAAGTATTTTATGAAATTTATTTCAGAATTTGTTGTTGCAGGATGGCTCTTTTCATTGGATTATGCGATGCACTGAAGATGATTTTCCTATTTTAGGTAGCTGCAGTTTTGTTTTTGTATTAAATCTTGTATCAGACCCCAATATGAGGCCCCAACCTCTTAAAGACAATGTAGCACACAACTTTAGAGTATTTAGAGTACGAGATGGCCTCCATCAGGGAACAACAACTTTACAAAAGTCTTAATTATTGAGTGTGACAACTATTAATTATTTTACTGTCATTTCAGTTCATGACACAGCTTTGGGTAAAGAGGTGAGAAGTATAACAATGACATTTACCAGACACATAACAGTACATACTCGAGATCTTGCGCCATAGTTTTAGAGTATTCTCTATAGTATTTCTGGATATCTGAGTAAATGAGCTGGGAACAATTTAATCAGATTCGTGCTTCTTTCTTCTTTTTTGTATTTGAAGATGGTTTTACAGAAGATGTACATTCCTGCAGTCTTTATTTCCCGGTGACCATTGCAATTCACTTGATGTAGATGATGTTTAAATCATGCTTTAAAACGCCCTTCAAAGATCTATCTTAGGGGTCTAGCTTACTTGAAGAAGAACTTTGGTGAGGGAACTGAGTAACAGAAAACAATGCAAGAATTCCAAAATACACCTGCTAACCTTGAAAATGAACATTTATGCAAAGACCAAATGGATGAGCATAACTTTGTGCAATTATTATCAGAATATTTGATTTTTCCTGCAACCCTTTCATGCATGAATTATGACAACCTCACTTAAGAAAGAAATCCTATTATTTTTATTCATCTTTAGGCATGACAAAAAGATTTTTGAACTTCACTTTTTTAAACATGGACTTTTCAAAGAGGTTTTTACATGTCTACTTAGATAGACAACACACATTTTGACTGAATTTGGTATGAAGTGACACATCAGTGTCCAGTGTCGTTGTTTCTGTGCAAGTATACCATCAACACTGGCACAAATACAAGAAAACAGCCTTTGAGTCATGACCACTATGCGTGAAAGGGTTAATGCAAGGAATTAACTTGTTAAGTTTCCTGTCCTTTCTCTGTGCATAATGTATCCATTAGCAATGTTCTAATTGATTTGCATATTAATTTACCATATCAGGATATATTGATTTTCATATTTTGTGCAGTAGGATCCAAGAGAGAGTGGGGCCCAATCCAACTGACTTTAGGCAGTGGGGTACACCCTTTAGAGATTATTTGTTAATATAGGGCTAACACAGAGTAACAAACAACTATTCACGACCAGTTTGGAATAATCAATCAAGCTTGCATGCATGACTGTTGGAAAGGTGCAAGCAGCTGGAATGAACTTGTCAGGCACAGGAAGAATATGCAGACTCTACACAGGAAGCAGCAGTGAGTCAGCATATTCACATTCACATTTAAGACTAGCCTGGTAAACTTGACATATTTGAGGCTTGAATAAAAGTAAAAATGTATATTTGCAAATATTTAAAGCTCTGTAAACACTGATTAAGGTGGACACTGAGCAACCTATTATACAGAAATGTGCCCCACAGTAAACTTAATATGAGCCTAATTTTTATTTAGAACTGCTCCTCATATTAAACTCTGCCAAAGTGAGTCAAAACATCGTCCTTCAACTCATTCTTAACATGTTTTCCTACTTTCTTTTTTCCTTCTGGATCTGTAGGATATCAACGAGACAGGATATCCCTACCACAGAGATTTCTGGCACAGAGTTCCACCCACCTGCTGCTCAAATCTTTTGTTTGAGCTGGCTTAAAGGAAAGGTGGCCTCTAGGGGAGAGCAGCGAAAACAGTTTGTTTCAAACAGAGGATTAACTGCACCAAAGCCCAGTATGAGATAATAAGGATTATTTTCACATGTGAATTGTCCAAAGCTACAACAAGTCCAAGAATAAAACATATTGAGCTGAAAATGAACAGAATAGGTCCACTTAAAAAATAAATAAATCTAGTCCAGTTAGTCAGTTGGAATATATAGGGTTTAAAGAATATTAAGAGATAAATCCTTGGTTGTACTGAAAACTGCCTGGCATTTAAAACTATTTTTCTGTGTAGCTCATCTCCGTGGTGAAATAACTCTAGCCTAGCAACTGTGCTAATTATGTGGAGTGATCTGTCATCAAACGTGACACTTCCATCATGAAAGGGCCTTTTTACTGCTGACCTATGTGCCTTCTCTTCTGATTAAAGAAGACGTCAACTATTTGTCATTCTTAAAAAAAAATCATCTGAAATGGAATGTGACCATGGCATCATTTTGAACTGGTAACCATGACAACAAGGCCAATTTTAATAGTCTCTGCTGCAGCACATTACAAATGTGCAGGTAGTCAAATCGATTAATTTTCTCCTGGCAGGTTAATATTGCAGATTTGGATGGCAGATAAAATCCTGCAGGATTTATCTTTAGGTTATGTCTGCATTTATTTATTTATCAGAAAGAACTCATAGATTATAAAGGTTATTAAAGCTGAACTGGTTTGTTCTGTCTGCTAGGAAGCCTTTAGCTTAGCTAGGCTGTTTGTGAATAATTAACCTTTTGCATTTCACAAACACTGGAGTGAATACATGAGCAGCGGAGGCCTGCAGTATTATTAGCGTGACCTGTCTGTTGTCATTGCATTTCGTATGGTTCCTTCTGTGGAGGGTTACATGAGCACCTAATGCAGATTAATGCATAAACCTGTTAAGGGATGCCTCCTCAGGCTACAGATTATAATGCAACACTGTCACAGCCTGATGGTGCACTGTGGTTTCAAGCAGTTGGTAGCCAGGTGTAAAATATCTTCAACCTTCAAAAAAGCTGGGACAAATTTTACAATGTAAATGAGAATGCAATGATTTGAAAACCTCATAAACCCATATTATATTTGCAATAGAAAATAGGAAACAGATTAAATGTTTAAAGTGAGAAAATGCGTCGTTACAAAAACATACAATCATTTTGGAAAAGATGGTAGCAACACAGCTCCGAAAAGTTTGGAAATAACTAATTTATCACTCTCTAGCATCGCGTCTTCTTTTAACAACAGTCTGTGAACTGAGGAGACGTCTGCTGGCTGGACTCCGGGGCATTTGCCCCATACGTGTCCAATACATTCTAGCTATTGATCAATCCTAGATCTGCTTTGTTATATTTTCAATTTCATAATGTTCAAAATGCTTTCAATTCGGTGAAAGATCTGGACTGCAGAAAGCCCAGATCAGCACCTGGATTCTTCAACTTCAAAGCCTTGCTGTTGTAATAGATGTAGTATGCTTTTTAGGATTGTCTTGCTGAAGTATGTAAGGCCTCGCTTATAAGAGACATTGTAAGGATGGGAGCATATGTTACTCTAAAATCTCTGCATCCCTTTCAGCATTATTGGGATGCCGATTCTACTAATGCACCCCCTATGTCATCAGAAGTGCAGACTTTTGAACTGAGTACTGATCAAAAACCCAGATGGTCCCTTCAGTCCAGAGGATGCACTGTCCAGGTTTTACTGTAAATATTTCAAATTTAGATTTGTCTAAGCACAGAACTGTTTTCCACGTTGCTTCAGTCTGGATCAGGTTCACATATGGCTTCTTCTTTAACCTGAATTTCCCGTTGGCATGGTGATAAACAGCCTTGTTTCAGACAGATGTCAGATAAATGAGGGGTATTTTCATAATGCAAACCTGCTCTAGAGTCCAAGAATGAAAATATGAAGATGGAGCACAATAGGTCCACTTTAATTAATCATTAATATTTTACAGGTAGACAAAATGTTTTGAAATGTTAGCTCTACATCCAATTGAATTATTATCTAATTTTGCAGACAAAACTTTCATTTTGACAGGTCACTCATACACCAGGATATTATTTATTACACTGGCAGTAACTTATTTTAATTTAATATTGCTAATTAATTAAATCGTTAACCAATGTATAACTAATGTATATACCAATATTTAGTTTCCTCTTCATTGGTGTCACAGAGCTGCAGAAAATCCACTTTCATTCAGCATTTAAACACAACATTAAAAAGACTCTGCATAACAACCATAACC